GCAAAAAAGTGTGTAAATATACTTTTAAAACTTAGTTAGTGCTTATTCTAATTTTTTTTAGGAATTTCTTTAAATTAGATGTATTTAATTATATTTTTAATAATAATCTATTATAATAAGAAATAGTATTTAATGTAAATATGAATAATGGATTATTTCTCTAATAATAATAATCGAATATCTAAAAAATAATTAATTAAGATTTTTTTCCTTTTTATTATTATTATAAAAATAATTATTAATAATAAAAATAATTTCAAAATATATATTAAAATAATATTTTATTTTATTTTATTTTATCTTTATTTTTATTTTATTTTATTTTCTACTAATCCAAATAATCTTACTTTTTATTATATATTTTTTCTCATTTTCTCATATCTACTCTACAATATAAAGTATCAATTCTTCCATTTTTTTTATTGTAATAAACATTTATAATAACTGAAAACTTTGCTTACAAATATTATTATTTACAGTATTTTTCATGTTCACATAATTTCTGCATTTTGTTTAAAAAATAAATATAAACATTTAATACAATAAAATAATTTTTATTTAATATAATTTAACTTTAATAAAAATTAATTCTGTGAATAGAAAATGGAGAGTAATTTAACTTTAATACATAACTTTTAATTATTTTAATTTATTTATTTTATATGATTTTAATGATTTTTTTATTAAGAAATAAGACTGATAAATATATATATATTGCTTCTTCCTACATTTAATTTGTTTTGTGCATTTTCATAATATATATATATATATATATATATATATATATATATATATATATATATATATATATATACTAATAAAAAAGTTAAGGTTAGGTTTTTTCATCGGCACCACATTTGATTTTCATTTTGTTATTTCAGAAAACTTGATTTTATTATTTCTTTGTAAAATAAAGAAGTTATATATATATATATATATATATATATATATATATATATATATATATATTTATAATTGATGAATTAAAAAGATAAGTCTTAATTACTAACAAACTCTCGTGTACTAACAAGGATAACATCAAGTTCCACGTATTAAGAGCTTGTGAATTACGTACAAAATTTAAACTCGCAACAAACAAATAAAACTTTATTCTTTGTGAACAAATCTTCACTCATTCTTTGTGAACAAATTCTCTCTTACTCTTTGTGCTCTTATTTTTTGTTCTTTAAATATGTATAGAGTACTTCTTAGATACTGGAAACTAACCATTTAAATGACTATATAATTACGTCTAAATGTTTGCTAATTGTTTTTCGCTACTATAATAGTTCAACTCAATAACATCGTTATTACACAAATCTCTTAGAAAATGAAATCTTATATTTATATGTTTACTTTTTCATGTAAGACTGAATTTTTGGATAATTTTATTGTAGAAATATTATCACAAAAAATGACAACAATAATCTAGATGCTCCAAAATTCTCTTCAGCCAAACACATTGGCAAACACAAAATACAGCTGTTATGAACTCTGCTCAAACTCTGTTTTGTTGTGGATAAATTAACCACTTATTACTTTTTTATAACCAAGATATTACACCATCTTACAATTTGAAAACATAATCAGATGTGATATTTCTATCTTATGGATCCTCTGCATAATCTTTGTCAGTATAGGCAAGTAATGTTACCTTTCCTCCAGTTTCCTCCTTCAATTTTGTCTTGTAAATCCACTTGACACCTATAATTTTACAATTTGGTGGTGGATCAACTAGCTCTCATCTATCATTTCTTTGAATGGCTTGAATTTCAGCATCCACTCCAATGTTGACTCTGTGATACTTGGTTGTATGTTATTGGATTTGCATATGCAAACATTATAAAATTTATAACATCTTCATTAGTTAAATCATCATCAGCGACACATAATCTTTCATCCAAATTGATGGTCTTCTAGCCCTCCCTTCAATTGGAAGGGCTCTTGTTGGAGATTCAAAAGTTAAGTCCATCCCTGTCGTATTAGTGGTTGTTGTTGCATCATCATTCAAGTTTGTTTGGAATACTCCCTTATTTGATTGAGGAAATTCTTCCACAGGTCTAACATCAATCATTTTACTGGTTTCTGCTTCGCTCTAATCCCAAGCAACATCCTCTTGAAATTTGACATCCCTGCTGATATGAATCTTCTTATTGATAAGATCATATAATTTGTAGGCTTTAGACCTTCACTTATACCCAACAACACATTTAATACTTTTTTCATCCAATTTGCTCCTTTTTTGGTCAAGTATATAAACAAATCCCATGCAACCAAAAATTAACAGATCACTTATTTCCGCTCCATGATTCTTCGAATGTGATATTTTTTAATGCAAGAGTTGGACTTTTATTTAAGATATGAACAACCCCATTTACAGCTTCGAGTCAAAAGGATCGTGTAACTTTTTTTTACTTCGAACCATACTTGTAATGGTATGATTCTTTCTCTCAGCTACACTATTTTGTTATGGTGTGTATGAGACACTGAGGTATCTTTGAATATCTTGTTCTTTACAAAAATCAACAAATTCCCTCCTTGGAGGTGGAGGAGGTGTATTCTCCCCCTCTATTAATAAGTAAAATTTGAGTAAAATTTGAATAAAGATATCCGCTTATTTTTCTACTCATGCTTTACAATTTTTAAAGGTCTCAAATGCTTCACTTTTCTCATCAAGAAAATATACCCATATTTTCCTATTATGGTCATCAGTGAAAGTGAGTATGTACATTTTATTCTCATTAGATGTAGGATTGATAGGGTCACATATATCACAATGGACTAGTTGCAACACTTGAGATGCACGCCAATTGCTTTGACGTGGAAAATGATGTCTTTGATGCTTGTCTTTGAGACAATGACAATGTTCACATGAGTTGGAGACTTTAAGGTAGGCAACTCTTTCACCATATCATGCTTTAACAAAGTTTCCAATCCACTGAAACTCACAAGTGATGAGAGTGTCTGACTTTAGCTATTGTTGGTGTTGAACTTACTTTAAAACAATTGTAAGAAATTCCAAATCTGACATAGATAGCAAGCATGCGGTTAGTAGTCATAGATGTTTTAAATATCAAACCCTCTCTTGAGAGACTTCACACTTATTTTCTTTCATTTCATTCCTTAATCCTTTCTCCAAAAATTTACCCATACTAAATATATTATTCTTTAAATCATGAACATAAAATACATATGTAACCACATGTATAACTTTATTAATTAGCAATTTAACTGTCCTTTCCTGTCACCTTTAAAGGATAGTTATTCCCTAGCTTCACTTCATCAGAAAAAACAAAATCCATAAAAGAAAATCAGTCATTTCTACCTGTGATTATTGTACCCTGAATCAATGAACCACATATCTTGTGTACTTTTGTTGGAAGTTATGTCATGAGTAACATGGCTTCTTCATCACCTTCAGTATAATTTGCTCTGTTATCTCGAGACTTATTTGGGCATTCATATTGGAAGTGTCCAAACTCATGACAGTAGTAGCACTCTATTTGTTGTCTTATTCATAAATTGTTCTTCCTCTTCCTCTTGCATATGCTCCTTGAAAAACATTTTTTCCATGTCCATTATCAACACTTGTCTCTTCCTCTTTTCTTGTTAAACTTCAATACTTTCTCTCTTCCTGTTAAACTTCAATACTTGCTCTTTTCACGAGGATTGTGTTCATTCATTCTCTGTTCATACACTAATAAACTACCTTGGAGTTCATGGAATCTAAATCATGAGATTTCTAAATGGAACATATTACGTACCTCAAAGGCATTTCAATAACAGTAAGGTCAGATACTGCTCACCTTATTCTCATTTTGTTTGTAATTATGAGAGTATGAGCAAAGTAATCATTGATTCATCATTCTTCATCTGCAGAATCTCTGATTCGCATAGCTCACTTCACTTCGTAGTGCCTTGATATTTTTGTTTCAATTAATATCAAATCTTGTTCGACGTTGTCTACTTTAATATTTTTCAAGTAACTATAAGATTCTAGTACTCTTTTAATCTTAGTAAGTTCTCCATTAGCAATGTTCAATGGTGGTAATATTCATCCAACTTTGGAAGAGATTACATGATAGAAGTATCACGCTTGTTTTTAGTGGAAGTTTGAAACTGATACCAGCTTATTATCTCATACAACTTTGGTTCTATTATTTCTTCGTAAAATAAAGAAACTAAATATATAAATTTAATTTTACAACTCAACTAACTTTCATGTACTAAGATAACACTCACGTATTAATAGTTTATTAAATCTTATTATTTGTGATAACATTTATTATATCTCTTTCATTTTTTCACTCAAACCTCCATATTAAAATTTATTAATGATTTATGATTTAAATTATATAATATTTATATATTTAAAAATCTTGTAAAAAATATATTTAATTTGTATTTATAAATTTTAATTAATAATTTATAATACAAAAATATAATTTAAAAATGAATTCTGAATAAATTAAAATTCATTTCCAGATTGTATTGTTTATAAATTTTTCAGAATGATGCAGGAGCAGTTTTCTAAAATATCTAATTTCATTAATGTTTCCAAAAGTTCAATTAAAAAAAACTATGAAATGATTTACATTAGGGATAATATTATTATTTAGATGAATATGAAGGTACAGGAAAAAAAGTACGGGTGGAGAAAGAAATAGGTTCAAGAAATGTAGATTGACCCATTAAGCATTGAAGGCCCGTTAGGGTTTGGGTTATTATGACATGTGAAAACCCCTCTCTATGCTTTTTTTTTATTACGCTTTGGGCTCTTCTTCCTCTGCCAGATCATTGCTGCATTCCGATTCGAAGGAAAAAAAAATAAAAAATCGATGATATATTAAAAGATTGAAAGTAATTTAAATCTATTTTCAAACGCAATGGTTGTCGTGAATAATTAATTCGATTCTTGATTTTCCGAAAACCGTTTCGAATCGGCGCAGAGAGAAAGTATCGTTTCGTTGGTGAGAGACAGGAATTGGCAAATTAGAAAAATGAAGAAGCTCGCAAGGAAATTTCGTCGTTCAGAAGACGAAAACCTCTCTCTTCCAGTGCACGACGGGGACTCTCGTCCTTTGGAATCCCAAGGTACGATCTTCCGCAACTATTAAAAATTAAAATTAAAAAGTTCTCATTTCGTTTCATAAATTCGAATGGGATAATCTAATTAATGAAGATTTAGATTTTGATGCGTGCAGAGCAAGAAGAGTTAGTTCGGTCACTCGAAAGAAGTCAAGCTCAGCAGAGTCGCTTATGGAGGGTAAATTCACAACACAATGTCACCTTTTTTCTTGTAAAACACTAATTGATTGAAATCCATAACATATTGGACTCGTGTTAACCTGATTTTTATTTTCTTTCTTCTAATGTAGATGGTATTTGCAATTCTATTCTTCTGTTACATCGTATTTCTTTTGTACTCCATCTTCCATCAGGCTTTAACACCCTGGGAACTGGTATGTTTCAAGACTTTTTTATTATTGTTATTAATTTCATGATTTTTCCTTTACTGAATATGCTCTGCCTTTCTTTGCTCTTTGATTAACAGCGGTATCATGCTTACTTCATGGAGGATATGTACTCATGGATGATTATATCTGCAGGTCCACTTTTCATGTTTGAATTTCTGCTCCCTATTTTATAAGTGTATCCCTGATTCAGTTTGTATCATTCTTTTACTATAGAGTTGTAGATTTTAGTCCTTTTATGCCCTTTATTTGCATTATCTGCTTACATTGATTTTCAATGGACAATGATTAAGTATGATATATTCTCCACTTATCACATTATGTGGATCATTGTTGTAAACTTATGTAATTGAAAACTTTTGCAGACTGGGTTGCTGTTTTAGCATGCTTGTTTTCCATCATCGGACTCCTTCATGAGTCAATGCTTCGGAGGAGATGGATAAAGTACTCATGGTATACTGGCGTTATTCTGGCAGTTTTCTGGTTATATTACATGTTGAGGTAAAGTTACTAGACAAACACTGATTGATGCATTTTATATGCTCCATACAGGATTCTGCATATTCCTAAATCTGGAAAAGTGAAATGAAATATATTACAAAACTCTTGGCATTGGTATTCAATGTATATTTCAGTTTGGAATTTTTAGCTACTAGAATCAGGAGGTCCAACTAATAGGCCCAAATAGGAAAATTTATTAAACAGACTTGTACACATTCTACTCAAGCAATAGAGGTATGGAGGACAAAATAAATTTTTACAACTTCTTCATACATTCTCTCCAGGTGAACCGGTCAGGTAACGAGTTCAAAGGAATCACAAAATCAGGTTGAAGAAAAAGAGAATCAGTAAAACTGGTCAAAACTAATAAAACCGGTCTAAACTGGTTCAATTAAAAAGTATTTAATAGTAAATTATTTTAACTTTTTTCTTAAAAAAGTAAATATAAATATAAAATATTTGTCAACTTCTTTTTATTCTACAGATAAACTCGTTATTATACATAAATATTGATGAATGTTATTGAAATTTTAATTTAAGTGTGATAACATATTTTATTTTAATTTTATATGTATTTTAAATTGAAAAGAAACAATAAGGTTATGTTTTATTTTAGATTCAAACCGCATACAATTATGATATTATATTATTTAATTAATTGTTATAATAATTTTGTTAATACAAGTTTGGTTCGGTTTGATTAGGGATGAATCTTGAACTAGTACCTTAACCAGTTCAATGATCATTTCGGAATTAAAAGCATGGTTTTTTTCTATCTTTTGGTGCTTCTCATCTTTTACTCTTAAATAATGATAATTCTTTTGGTAGGTTGCCGAAGTTTCGTTGGGATGTAATCTGGCTACCATTTGGTCCTCTTGGGTAAGCATGCTATCTATTTGTTTTGTTTTGTTTTAATTTTGTGAGCATTAACTCAGTAAATGCATTGCTTCACTATGATGCAGTGCATCTGCAGTCTGCCTCTATGTGGATCATTTACTGACTGAGTCATCAGAAGAGGTGAGAAAGCTTCGTGGGTACATGTATACCTACAAAGCAAGCTAGAAAGATGTCTGCCTAGAGATGGAGGAATGAGAAACATTTTGAAGCATCATGACCAGATAAACTGAAAAATATTTCCCATCAGCCAACAGCACAGAACGGTGATGATTTCTTTCGTCGATTCAGCTACTCCTTTTGGTATTTCCTTAGGTTGGATGAAAAGCAGTTTATGGAGATGGGAGTTTTCACCAGATTAGAGATCGCATTATAGCAGTTAAGCTTTTGGAGGTAGTAGCATTTGTTTTTGTGAGGAGTTATACAAGTTGTAGATCCCCCTCTATTTGAGAATAGTTTAGCATTTACTGGATAAATGAACAAAGCACTTCTCTGACAATGTTTTGGCATATATTTTGAGTCGTATCATTGGCATCCGAACCAATGCAGTCATAGCTGTTCCGACCATGCATAAATTTTCTATTATGGCTCACCAATTACAGACGTGTATGCTTAGTCAAACCTATATGTCCACAGGTAATAAAAGTTTGATGAAAACTCTCATGCTTATTCAGGGAGCATGGTTCTAGGAGGGCGTGTCCTGTTGCATAGATTTATAAATTGCAGCAAACAATTAGCTTTTGGAAAAATTGCATCAAAACGTTTTGTTGTTGGAATTCCGCTTTATTACAAGGTGGAATTTTATTGCTTGTTAGCTGACACTAGTCTAGTTATGTGTTGCCAATCCTCCTTTTTCTTTTGGAAATGATATTTATAAGAATCAAATAACTATACAATGCAGATATTTAGTCCTTTGTAGTCCCTCCCAAAATGATGTTGGGATGGAGGCATGAAATTGAAAAGTTTAGTTCCAGCATCTTCACTAGTCTGGCCATAGTTCCGTTTTATCCGTCCAGTATCGTCCTGTCTATAATTAAAGCCATAAATAAATAATTATTTACTTTTATTACAAGTACACAATGTTGACATGTTAATCGTGAGAATTTTGTTTCTTCATCTTCTGGGTAGCCAATTGTTGAACTGAATTAACTATTTATTCACTTATCAACCACAAAATGAATTAGCCGCTTAACTGTTCCTATTCCACGTCTCACATCACTTAAAGGGTATTCCTATCACATGGTATTCATTCCTACCACTTGAAGGAAGGATAGAATTCCCCAAATATTGTGTTTGACGAGCTATTTGAATTAATTTATATTTTATTTAATAACTTTAAAACTTGTTTCACCAAAATATCTAATTAACTTATAAATTTACACTAAAAATAGAAGTGTTTGGTAAGGGCATATATTTTATTTTGTATAACCTTTTCAGATATTATTTATAGTGATATCAGCTTAACCTTTTTTTTCTCAATATTTCCGCTGATCATTGGTTTAGGTCTGATAAATTTTTTCTAAAATTAAAATAATATAATTTTATCAAATGTGTTGAAATTTATAAATATGAAATCATTTCTTTAAATCTAAAATTCAAATAATATTATTTATATTGAACTTTTTAGTTATTATCCATGATTTGGAGTATCACATTTTTACACTGAGCTCTCAAATGGCCATAGACAAGTTTTAAAAGAATATTTTTTACACAGAATAAATTTAAACAATATTTTTTATAAGAACCTTTTGAAAAAAAAAACTTTTTTATAAGTTAGAATTAATTTATATATAAGTTAATTTAAATAATATCTCTTATTTTCTTTAAAATTTTATTTTATATTAAGTTAACTTTAACAAATGCTTACTAGAACTTTTTTATTTATTATTGTAAAAGTTCTTATGAAAACATTTATTCCATAAATACCCATAATATTTATGCCGCCAAAAGCGAAGCACATATAATTAGATACTAACAATTACGGTGGTACTTTATGATGCATAGTCCAGATTAAAATCCTAGTGCATGCCTGAACCTGTATCCAATTTTGTCCACCGTAGAACGTAGATATAACCCATACTGCACAGAATGTCACAGATATGTAAAATATTGATTGCGGGTACTTTACTGAGCAGGAGTTGGTAATAGTATTAACGAATGAAAACCAGTATAAAAAATTAAATAACATGTCAAAACCCAGCATCTTATCAAAATAATTAGTTCGGCAAAGAGAAAAAACCCAGTCGTGGTGTTGCCACCACATAATCTAAATGCTACATATAAGAATACTACATTCCATTTTCAACTTAACTACTTGTGCGAGAGAATCATTAATCCCTTGTAATCAGAAAAAGGAAGATCATAGATCTGCTCTGCCAGGATATCGTGGGAAAGGAATCACATCTCTAATATTTTCCAGGCCAGTGGCAAAGAGAATCATCCTTTCAAAGCCAAGCCCAAATCCCGCATGTTTCACTGTTCCATACCGCCTCAGATCAAGGTACCACTCATACGGCTCAAGGGGCAAACCCATCTCCTTTATTCTGCAATATAAACCAAAAGTCAAATAACGTCCAAGGACATAACTTAGACTAAAGGAAAGAAATTAAGAAAATACATCGTAAACAGAATGTATATTAACCTTGACTGAATGACTTCATAACGCTCTTCTCTTTGGCTTCCACCAATTAGCTCTCCAACCTGAAAAATTCCATTTACATAAATACATGCTTCTATTATGCTAGAACCAAAAAACCATCAATATAGCCATCCACCATAAACATGTAGAAAATAAAATAGACAGGACGCCACCTTTGGTACAAGCACATCCATAGCAGCCACTGTCTTTAAGTCATCATTGAGCCGCATGTAAAATGCTTTGATATCTTTTGGATAGTTATAGACAATGACTGGCTTCTGAAACTTAACCTCTGTTAAGAATCTGCATAACACCATACCATCAAGATATCACACAACACAAATCAAATAAGGGCTAGACCGAAAGGTGAAAAAGAAATTTGAAAGTACCTTTCATGCTCGGACGCTAAGTCAATACCCCATTTCACTTCATTCTCAAATTTCTTACCATTCTTTACAGCCTCTTCTAGTATTTCCACTGCTTCTGTATAGGTAACTCGAATAAAGGGGGTGGAAGCAACCAACTTCAAACGATCAATGCAACCTTTATCAAACTTATCAGCCATAAATTCCATATCTTCAAGGCAGTTGTCAAGTAACCATTGACACATAAATTTCACATATGCCTCGGCACAGTTCATATCATCCTACGCAGAATACAAAATCATGAATTTTACTACTTCCCCCACAACAAAAGCAAAAATACCAAACCTTTATAAACAAGTACAGTAGGCAGCTCAACATTGCACTAGAAAAATTAACAAGTCCACTGCCCTAACAAAAAATAAATAAATTTTTGCATCAACATTCAACAGAACTATACCACCACCAAGACCAACAACAATACTGTTGCTTCCAAACATAATCGTGATCATTTTTGAGTGAGTTCAAATTTTCATATACCTTTAACTCTGCAAATGCAATCTCAGGTTCTACCATCCAAAATTCAGCCAAATGCCTGGAAGTGTGAGAATTCTCCGCGCGAAAAGTAGGGCCAAAGGTATACACACTGCTAAGTGCACACACATAAGACTCAACTTGAAGCTGACCCGAAACCGTCAAAAACGCTTGACGTGCAAAGAAATCTTTCCCATAATCCACCTTTCCATCATCCTTCTTAGGAATCCCAGGCTTAAGTTTAGACCTCTCCTCCACCTTAGCCAAACTCTCCTTTGAAATCTTAAGCTGATCCACAGCAGCAGCAATCTCCGACTTAGACGCCTTGGCCGCTTTCAACTGAGACACAACCTCCCCTTTCTCCACAACAACAAACTTGGCCGCTTCCACATCTGCCTCGGTAGGAGGCGGATTCTGCAACAACTCCTTCTCCAATCTCTCCGCCTCACTGAGCAAAGTCGTCACCTGAAACATCTCACCCGCACCCTCACAGTCACTCGTGGTAACAATCGGCGTGTGCACGTAAAGAAACCCTTCTTTGTTGAAAAAAGTATGCGTAGCAAACGCAAGAGCATTTCTAATTCTAGCCACAGCAGATATCTGCAATCACATACAACACAACGAAATTAAAAATAATACAAGAAATTATGACAATCAAATCAATTAAGTCTATCTATACCAATTGAGGTCCCATTTTTCAGCAACTGTTCACAATATCTCAATTTCTGTTTTTGCACTCTCAAAGAATCAGAAACCGCGTTAAGTCACAAAATCACGATAACACACCTAAAATTATATTATACTGCCTAAATTCATAACCATTTTTACAATTGTAGTTTAAAACGAAAAGGTACCGTGTTGGTTCTGGAACGAAGGTGAACGAAATCTCTGAGGAACTCGAGAGTGAGTCTCATTTTGGGCAGAGGATATTTGGCGGGATCGACGGGGCCGACGTGAATGACCATATCGGCGCGGAGTTCGATCTTCTGTTTGGTTCCGGCGGGAGGGAGCTTTAGGTGGCCATCGACGACTATGCAAGTTCCGGTGGGGACGAGTTGGCTGAGTTCGCCGAGCGAGGCTTCGACGATGACTTGGAGGTTAGCGGCACAGCTTCCGTCGTTGATTTCAAGGAAGGCGAACGCATCCTTGTCGGCTTTCCGACCGGTCTTGACCCAGCCTCCGACGCGCGCCTTTAGGCCAGCGAGGCCCGAGCCGCCGTCGGGCCGAGAGATGATGGAGCGGATTGGGACGCGGTCCGAGAATTGCGCCTTGGGAACCTCGTTGTTGAGGGTGGCGGCTGCGAGTTGGTCCGTCGGAGGAGAAGATGCGTCTGCCATTGGTACTAAGGGTGGCGACGACGGAGATGGGTGACGCGCTAAGAAGTGCGAACCCTAAATTGGAGTGTGAAATTCTGATGTGTCCACTGCTACTAACTATTCCTTCTCATTTTCTAGACGCTGACAGGAATATTAATTGGACAGATTTTTATTCACAGTAAGAAACATTCAAATTTGTTATTAAAAAATAATTTAAAGATCAATTCGATAATAAAAAAAATAGAATTAATTTTACAAAACCTTATAAGAAAATGTAAAAATTAATTATGAATTTTCATTGCTTAATAAAACTGATTAATTCGTATTTTTAATATTCAGATAAAAAATTACATATTTTGTTTTTTCTTAGTACTAAACTTATCTTTGAGTCACAAAAACCATGGTTAAAACCTATAGATTATATTAACTATGTGTCCAACACACACTCTTTGTTATCGTCGATGAAAAAGATACTATAATATTTATATTAATTGGTAATTATAAATTTTAAAAATTTATATTGACAGCAAATAAGAAAGAAAACACTATAATATGTTTTAAAATTATAATGTTATAAACTCCCATAGCTTTTGAAAAAACTACTTGTAAACTACATATCGGAAAATTATAAATTGTTATATTTATATTATTTTTAAGAATTTTTGTTAATAGTTTAGTTTTTCAATCTATCATTTTATAGTTATAAAATTAAATTTTAATATATTTAAAACTTATCCATGATAATATAATTTATATACTTTTAAAATGCATAATATAATTCATGTCCAATAAATATGGCTATAGAGGATGAAGTTTTGGACAAAATTAAATCAAATAATTTTTTTTAATTAAAAAAGGAAATTGTTTTTACACACTATGTTTTATTACAATTTAAATTGTACTGTAAACACAAATATATAACGAGAGATATGTTAAATAGGATGAGAAGGTGCATTTGTGACAGTATAAAATGAAGAGTTGCTGGCCACGTGGAGGAGTCAAGGAAGGGCAAAACAAATTCCGTTTACTTTTTTTTCGTTTTATATTAGTTTTAAGTTGTAAATTTCCCAATACCCAGCACCGGACGCGTCTTGTTAGATCTTCCACTTTCTGTTTCTGTTTCATATTCATCCTCGTTAAATTTCGTATCAAACCCCCCAAAAAATTGAAAGAAACCCTAATTTTTCAACAGGGTTGGTTAATCTCCACTTTTCTTTCTAACATTATCCTTCTTCTACTTTTTTTTTTAATCAATTTTTTGATGTCGATGGGTTCTTTTCCTGTTCCAGGGTTATCGATTGGCGAATTCTGGTCGATAGTGTCCCGTTGATTTTCCTAGTCGGACTTATAAGGGGATCGCTGCTTTATCTTAATCAATCATGTTTACCCGAATTTTTGGTAAACCAAAACAGGAAGCCAATACTCTAACGACTTTGGACAAGTTAAACGAGGTAGGTTGAATTTGGATCTCCCAATTGCGAGATTAGTATATATATTTTTTTTTTCGACCCAAGAATTGTGCGTAGTCAATATAAGTTTTCCTCTAATTATGCGTTTCATATATTATTTATATTGTATTTCCGAGTATTTTTCTTGAATCTTAAATTGTAAACAATGTTCTTGTCTTTTTTAAAGTTGGAACTATTAAAAACAAATTTCCTGTGTGTCGTGGATGTTCCCGTAGTTCAATTAAGAGCTATTTACAATTTGGAGGAATAGAAGGCAAATTTTTATCTTGTCTCCTTTATAATGGTTTTTCCTGCTAGTGTTTTGGAAATCGTTTGATCTTAGCTAAGCACATAATAAACTACATTTATTCACAGTTGTTGTTGATACTGCCTCAGTAGCCAAGTTCTGCTTTTATTATCTAATTTGTCCTCGTTCAGTCCTTGCAGTTATTTAGATATATTGTTAAACTTTTTATTTTATTTTATTTTTTTCTGTTCTATAAAATTGCATAGTTTTCTAAACGTTCGTTGATCAAGCAAAGATCAATGTGTACAGTAGTTTGCAGTTTGAGGAGACCTTTTTCTCATTTTGAATATTTTGTTCCTCGAATGCTGCAGACACTTGAAATGTTAGAGAAAAAAGAGAAAGTACTCCTTAAAAAGGCCGCTGCAGAAGTTGAAAGGGCCAAAGAATTCACAAGAGCAAAGAATAAAAGGGGTATATAGCAAAACTCATTTTGTTCTAGAGAATAATTTGCGATATACATTGCCTCCCTACTTCGCATATGTTTGTGCTACTGCTGAGTTTTGATGCATGCTTTGGTCAAAATTGTGTCATGATAGTTTCATAAAAAATAATGTAGAGCTTCTCAACAAGACTTGGGGTCTCATTTGGTTTGACATGTGATTGTGGGAGTTCGAACTTAGAACGAACTAAAAGTTTTGTAGGTACTTCGGAGTGAGAATCCATTATATGATTGAATAATTAATTTGAATGGGACTACTCCATTCTACCATGATTGATTAGATTTACCTTTTACCCAGATTATTTTCTTAACATGATCCTTTATTGTTTTGGCTGGCCACTGATGGGCATCATTGTCGCATCCACCACTATCATTGAACAATCAGTTTTTGTTATATTATCATACAATTTGTGTTGGGATTCCCTAAGGGAAAACATGAAGGATACTGATTGATCCTAAGTTTATCATATGAGAGAATATAACATTTATTATAATTCAAAATCATAAAGTAATAGATTTGTAAGTTTTTCTCCCTGTATGCTTCTCATGCCAATTTCTACACAATGTGAGTCCAATTGACACTTGAATCCTAATATGCGCAATTTAGAGATCGCTGAAGGAGGAAAAGGATCAGTTGCCATGTGTATGACTTTTGAAAGCTGTGGTACGGTACCTTGAAGAAACCAGAGAAAATTAAGAATTGGGAGAAAAAGGTTATTGATATTCGGAATCTCTAAACATTGAGATTGGTAGTATCTGCTTGTAACAGACTGTAGTATTGTACAGCTGCATAACTAATTATTGAGCTGTCAGTGAACTTACTTATTGCTGACCGCTAAAGCTAAAATAAAATAAGCTAACTTACTATCATATACTCTATCAGTGTGCAATGGAATATAAATTCGGTAGTATTATTCCATCAGGAAAACTGCAATCACACCAAATTTTGGATTAGTTGCAAACACACCAATAAACTACAAAAAGTAGCAATTGAACACTAAACATTCAGCCGCTATGCATTAAGTTTCTCTTTTTCCTGTTATAACTGTAACTTGTTCAAGGTTATCAAAATTGAGTTCCAATGTTGTATTGGAAGTTGGGGTGTAGGATTATAACGAAAATAGTAAGATTTATCTGAAATGCAGAATTGTGGACATCCTCGTATGTATATATATGTATGTATATGCAAAAAAAAATTGCATAAATTAGAAAAATAACCTCTAAACAATACCGGAGATTAAACTAGATTGAAAATTCACAAGGTTTTGTACCAAACTCGTAAGTGCACACAGCAAAACAGCCAATTCCCTTGACAACAAAACAGATCATGAATCAAACTTCAGTACCAGAAGGGAGAAAAAAGGAAGCCTTCAGCCTCAAATAGAGAAGCCTGCAAGCAAACTAGAAAAGAATCAAACAGAAGAGATAGGGGCGAACTGGTAGAGCCAGGAAAGAAATAGAAAGGGTCAGAAGTGTGAGGGAAGAACCAGAGAAGTGTAAAGGATGGGGGTAGAGAAGAGCTCAGGGTTGCACCAACACACCACAAATTAGAAGTGTATGACCTCACGCAGATTATTTGTGTTGCAACCTCATTTTTTAAGTGTGGCAATCTAACAATTCCACTACTTGAAGCAATGATCCTGCACCAAGCCAACCATAGAATTCTTTCCGGGGGGAAGTGCATGTCACTTGGGAGGTCAAATCACATTGGATTGTACAATCCTGTGTTGGAGGCAATATTGATACAATTAGCTTAGTGACAAATGAGAGGCACATGCCAAATTAATTTTAAAAAACCATAAAAGAAAAATATTTTATCTGTTAATAGTTTTTGTTCTACTTTTTGTATTAAACTCTCTTCAATGCAAACATGATTTGAACCCCCAACACTCTTGCCATATATATTACACTTCTTACTGAACTTACATGGATAAGATTGTGTATGCATTTTTTTCAAAAAAATAAAATAAAATAAAATTACGTCACATCTTTGGGAATTATTCTTTAAATGGGAGCCACTTCATGCATTAATGGTGTATTAATCCATTCTGACTTTGATTTTTGAATTTCTTCTTTATGCAGCGGCAATACAATGTTTGAAGAGGAAGAGGCTATACGAACAGCAAATAGAACAGCTTGGAAATTTCCAGCTGCGTATTCATGATCAGGTGTGAATGCACTTTATATTCAGCAGTTGCTACAAATGTTATTAAAAATGAAAATTTGAATCATTAAAAATAAAAGTTTTAGGCTGAGTATAAAAGTGCAAAATTAATGTATTAATAAGCATTAAATTTAAAGTGCATATCAATATTAGCATATACTTCTAGAAAAATCTATATATAAATATACTAGTCTCACATTGAATAGGTAAAAGGGGAAGGAAGAAGTGAAACTTCTCATAATAAATAGCAAGCCAAATTCATTGCGTGTCAAGCTCTTATTTATCTCTCATCGAACAAATTAGGAAAAGAGAAAGTCAGTTTTGCATCCATATGATGCAAAAAAGTTTTCAATATTTTCAAAAGTAGAAGGATCTAGTTCAATCAGTTATGTGCACCATGCATGACTAGTGCACATGGGTTAGCTTGTTCAAGACTGGTATTTCCTTTTTTTGTTGGTTTTTTGAAATCTTATATTTGAGGATTGGTTGGATCAGTTCCTGGTTTTTCTCGTCCAAGCACTGCTACACTGTAGTTCTGACAATTATGCTTATGATAAAAGAATCAGTGTTCGAGTATCGTTTATATCTTATGCTGATAATTTGTGTTACAGATGATAATGTTGGAAGGTGCCAAGGCAACCACAGAAACAGTTGACGCATTGAGAACTGGTGCAGCGGCTATGAAAGCTATGCAAAAAGCAACGTATGTGTATATTGGTGATATCATTCTTGATGTGCTCTTCTATATTTTACATCTTTGTTTTTTCGGCTTGTTTTAAAACCTGGGACAAGTTTACTTTATTTTGTGGTGATATCTCCCTACGTATAACAGAGATGTCTTAGTGCATCCATCTAACTTAATGGGCTTCCGATTGTGACATTATTGAATTGCTGTCTTTGTTTTTCAGGAATATTGATGATGTTGACAAGACTATGGATGAGATCAACGAACAGACAGAGAACATGAAACAAATTCAGGAAGCATTGTCTACTCCAATTGGTGCAGCTGCTGATTTTGACGAGGTCATTTTCTCTAATTTTTACTTTATTTGCATTTGTACCCTATGCAAATGAGAAATATCTGTTTAGTTGTTGAGCGTAGATATAACGTATTATGTCACATCAGGGCAACATTCTGGAATCTGAATTTCTTTGCCGTTTCAGGATGAATTGGAGGCAGAACTTGAAGAGCTAGAGGGTGCTGAACTGGAAGAACAGCTTCTTCAGCCTGCAACTACAGCTCCAGCAGCTCCAGTGCATGTTCCAGCTGGGCGGCAACCCACTCGCCCTGTGTCTTCAAAACCCACTGCCGAGGAAGATGAGTTGGCAGCTTTGCAGGCTGAGATGGCACTTTGAGCAGGTCCCTTTTCTCAGCTGCGACACTATTGATTTATGCTATCTATTCATCGATCTGTTTTAGTTTGGTTGGTATTGCAATTACTGTGGCGGTTGAATGGTTTGTGTGTGCACCAGTTTCATATTCGATATCAACCTTTGCACAGTTGGGTTCTCTTGTATAATCATAGTATAAAATGAATTGTCTAAAGTTGCTTGTCAGGAAAAGTTTGACAATCATATTTTATGCAGTTCTTATTGATTTTGCTGCTGGCTTTGATTAAGCCAGAACTTTGCAGGCATTGATGTGCATGATCTTGTAAACTAGAGTGACACGGAGAATTCTGCTCCCTCTCATGCTTGCTTATATAAAGGTTATAAAATTCAATAGCCCTTAAAAATTTATACATTCTCCTGGGATGTTTGCACCCTTTTCAATGTCGTGTTTTTCAGAAAGTCGAAAGCCCTGATGTATACGGTGTAGCTCTTGTTAATGTTGATGCGCATAGGGTTACCTGTTTTCTAGTTTGGAAGCTCGTGTAGTTTTTAATATTATTCTTCAGACTGATAAGTGGATATCTCAGACAATGGAGAGTTATGAATGAAAAATAGTCTATCTAGGTTGGAGCCAGGTCACGCAATGCTTTAAAATATTTTAATCTGGAATAAAAATGCAAATATTATTTCAATAGGGAAAACTCATGCATCGTTATTCTGAGGTTCTGATGTATTCGGATTTCGGTTTGGAACTAAAAAGTCGTTCAATTCAAAAATTAAGATAATGTGGTTTGGTTTGGTTTGGATTGTTGTGAAAACGATATAATTTAATTCGGTTAAATATGTATTTATTAAAGTACTGTACATATTCAAACGACCTCTTGTTTGTTGCTTTTATTGCTACCAACATTAATATCTTTTTTATTTTTGTATATAATCATTTTATCTATTATACGTTTTCTGTAATTGTAAATTCATTTTAATAAATTTACTTTTTTATTGTTTTTTTTATGGTGTAAAGCTCAACATTTATTACTGTAACCTACAACAAGTCTTACAAGCATATATAATGAAACCTTTCTCCAAGTTAGTATTTGGTGGTCTGAACTAATTTCCAATGTTATATTCTTTAACCACTCAATAGCATTTTTTGTGATCTTCATTCTTTATTATTTTTAATGTTAGAAATGAGACTTGAGTTTTAGAAAGTAGTGAATTGAATTGTGAATTTTATATATTTTTTTCAATTGAATGAACAATTATTTTCTAAATTAAGATAATTATGTTTTTAAAATCAGAATTTGAGTTAAAACTGATTTTTTTTATTATTCAAAGAACAAGATATACAAGTTAATTATGCAAAGATAAGGAAAAATACTAAAAATTATATTAACATTAATTTTCAAGATATTTACATCTAATTGTCTAATCATTCTTATTAGTCGATTTATTGTCTCTTAAAATTTTAAAAGAAACTTTTTAAAAAACAATAAATTATATTACATTATCAAAATTTTGCATCTATAAGGTTTATAACTATTACATTCGTGAAACCTTATTGCAAATATATCTACGTCACCTGGTAAAAAATAAATATTGTCAAAGGAAATGAAAATAAATAAAATCACATAAAAACTGCAGGAATGTGGAGCTCTCAATCTTTCTATTGAGATATATTTATGTAAAACAATTGTAAAAATTATTTTACAATCTTCTAAATTCTTTATACCTTATTTAAATGAATCTTTCTTTTATTTTTATTTTTATGTAACTATGCTAACGAGAAGTGTCAGAAGAACATTTTCTTAACATTTAGAGCTTATTTAAATTTATACATTAGGAGAGAAAATAATTAAATAAAATATAAAATTTCACAAATTTTTATAATTTTCAATAATTTCAACCAATAAAAAAATGTATTCAAAATAATATATTTGAGACTATCTCATTAAAATTTTATATATTAGTAGAAGTGGTAATGAAATAATGTTATTTCGGATTATATTTTCTCTGGTCCCTTTTAATTGTTGTTTTTTCATATAGAAAAATTATTTACAAATATTTATCATTTTTTAAGATTATGTATTATAGAGAAGATGACAAGTTATTATGAATGATTTTAGATGAATAAAATATTAAAAAATAAAATTATTATTGAAAAATAACAAAAAAAATTATCTTAGTTCTTTAACCCAATTTTAAACAATATATATTTAGAAATATATGAATTTGATTAGAGAAAAAATACCTTAATTTTTTTCAATATGATTCATTATAAAAATTTAATCTAATTCATTCATTAATAATTTTCCATGGATGAGTATTCAATCTATCTATAGAAATAATTTTTTTAAATTATATTTTTGAGAAAAAATAATAAATATTGTAAAACACATTTAAATTATTTTTTGAAAAAGTAAATTTAAGAAAAAATTTAATTGTAATAAATAATTAGATTAGTTATAGTAAGGATTCATTAGATTTTGAAAAGTAGTAGATGAATTATTATTATTATTATTATTATTATTATTATTATTATTATTATTATTATTATTATTATTATTATTATTATAGATAAAATTAATTTAATAGATTTTATCCAATCCAGTTTTTGGTATATTTACAGTAGATAAACTGGATGAACTTAGAGTATATCCAAGTTGATTATTGAGATATTTAAATAAAATATTAATTGTTTAGTTTGAGAAAATATCTAATTTAGTGAATAGTATAAGGAACCATCTTTTAAAATTGATAATAATCAACTCCATAGAAATTGACTACATAAAAGAAAGTAACGTTCATATACGAATGTTACACAAAGAGAGATAGAATAAGAAGAAAAAAAAAGAGTAAAAAAATAGAATGAGAAAAGGAAATTAAAGATTTTATTTTCATTGGTCTTTCGTCCATCAAGATAAGTCCCTCGTTAATAATAATTTATAGGAGAATCATAAATTTTAAAATTATTTTGATGTGCAATTGTGTTTTAGTATTTAAGAATATATAAAAGTTACATCTTACCAAATAAATGAGGAGAGAGAATAAGAAAAAAATATTTTTTTTAAGATTTATTAAAAAATTCTAATGAAATAAAATTAATAATATTTTTTTAAAAATAATATGAATTCATAAATTCCTATTTTAATTTTTAAGGTAGGAAGTAACTAATTGAATATAAGGCTCTTAATAAAATAATAGATGAATAGATTAGCAGTATCTCAATGTGATTACACACCTTTATTAACCAAGATGTGTTTTTGACCACATTAAATCTTTACAAAACAATTAATGTGAAGGTCGTGTACATCAAACTATGCTGAGGTCAATTGAGGAAAATGTAGGACAATTAAAGCAAAATTTTGGTGAGACCTTGACTAAAGACACATTCTTTAAGACTCACCCTCTTTTTGGTCATTTTCAACTTAGTAGAATTCTGCTTAAGACACTCACAAGCACTTCATTGGGTTCCAACACCATTCTTCATTCTCTTTCTTTTATGTTAGTTCATCTCTTTCTCACCAAGTTTACAACTTTGACTTCATGCATCTGAATACCAATCAACTTGTTTTCACTATTTATGTCTGAAAAATGGATCTGCTTTTAGAAACCACTAAATTTTGTCTTTAAAATTTGTAACAGGGTCATGCACATTGCATATTAGATCATTTCCTGACAAAAGTAATGATTGTATATTGCTTGGTTTTGTTTATTAAACTTAGTAATTTAACACTGGTGTTAGGAAATTAAAAGTCAATTTTATTTATATTAAAAAACATATTTATTTCATTAGAAGAAAAATATTATTTCATTTCCTTTCTTTTTTTAATGAAAAATATTTTTTATATATTTGAAGATTGATGTTAATAAAATTTAGTTATTTTTCCCATATAAAATAGTCGTTATTTATTTTTCAAATGAAATAATATAATGTTGAAGACTTTGAACGTACTATTTTTTCATTTATTTTTTGCATATTCAAGGTATATGAGGGTCGTTAGTATTGATGATAATCAATATTAATAAAAATTTATAATTTTGACTTTGCTGTTATTTGAATTGATATAAACAAAATATGAATCGATATAATCTCTATAATGTATGTTGATCAAACATATAGCCACATTAAAAAGAAAAAAAAAATGAGAAAGTTTACATCATGATTTCATTTGTATAATTAATTCTTCATAACTATGTTATAGTTGATTGAATAATATTTAAGCAAACATATAAAATTTAAGCATTCCTTAAACAATGCAGAAGATTTAACTGCATCTTGCATGGTTTACTGAACGACATGTTTCTTTGTTTTGTGACATGTGGTGGAGTAATTCCTCTTCACTATTACGTGCTTCGTTTCTCTCATGCAATCATTAATACACGTTTATCACTTTGTCCTTAGTGTGATAATTCATTGGGAACCTTCCCTCTGTAAAATGAGGTATAAGATGATCTTGATGTATGCAGATAGGTGAATCAAGTGATATACATTATTGTGTTTATTGATCACTGCAATGTTTGTTTATTCAAATGATGCATTTATTTATGCGATCAAGCAAATGCACATGCACAATATAATGTTCCGATTCATGTGAAAAACAACAAAACGAAGCAACTTTTGCAGTAAACGACTAAACGTAAGCTTATGTGAAAGAAATCACGCAGGCTTCTTTTTCACCATTTTATATGTGATAATGGCGAAAGAGACACTCTATCACGATTCTTGTATGTGGTTATTGTTATTGTCAGATGGGGACCCCTCAATTTGTTTTTTTTCTAGGCTTAGAAATTGCTCAAGAGCCAACGCAACTTTCGTGACCACTGGCCATTCAGAAACTACGTGCGATCCCATTCACATTCATGAACCTTTTTGAATGTTAGTTTAAGGTCCCTACATATCGTGACATAATGAGAACTCCATCCCTGCGATAAAGATTTCATCAAAAAAGTAAAAAGAAAGTAGAATTCTTGGCTAAAAAGCTCGCGTAATTTCTTACACACCTAACTACTTTTAATCAAATTCAAATCACAATCATATTTGAAGGGTATTTAATTACTAGGACGTACTAATTAATACTATATAACATATGAAATCAATATTCCGTGCCACTTTGACTTGATCCTTTTCTTTCTGCAATGGTGATGTTGGTTTCGAACCTTAGAGAGAAACTTTGGTTAGCCAAATGATGGGGAAATTTGGTTGCTTTTTTCTTGAGAAACAAATCCATTACCGAACAAGAGATCTTCATACACAAAATCAAGCAGAAGTGCTTCATTTTCACCTTCAACATTGTCATGGTAGCCAAACCATTGAGTCTCATTTTCATGTTTCACCAAGGATGTCGAGTTCAGAAGAACTGAAACTTCACTGGATATTGGTACACTACAACTGCTGCCAAGCCCTGGGACATTAGATCCGAAAGGCAATGGTGAAGGAACTGGAATATGGGTCTGCTCCAAACCCAAAACTTGAAACTCAGCTGAGTTCTCATGATCAAAGACGCAGTCTTCAGCTTGAGATTGAGGAGTATTGGAAGTTGAGAACTGTGGACAAACAGTATTGGCAGTGGCATTGGTGTTTGCTGCCAAAAACTTTTTCTTTAACTTAGTGTTCCAATGGTTCTTCACATCGTTGTCTGTTCTCCCAGGTAACTGAGCCGCAATAAGGGACCACCTACCCAAAAACCAAAGCATATACACTCACTTGGTAATATGATATGTATAGTTGCATAGGAATGAACGAGCAAAACAAAGCAGTCTAAAACATGTTAATCTAGATAAATGTTGTAATATATCATAATATTTACACATTTTTATTATGAGAGTTGCTACGTAACCTTAGAAAACTGAACGTTTTAGCACTATTACGATAGTTAAATGATATTAAGATGGTTAAAAATACCAAAACTACAAACTTACGAATACCATAGACTTTATCTTTTCTTAGTTATAACTTGGGTTAGCTTGCTTGGAATATATACGAAGAAAGAATGAACTTGCCTGCTTCCAATGGTTGAATAAAGGGTGCAGATAACTTGGTCTTCCTCATCAGTGAAACCTCCATGCTTGATATGAGGCCTGAGATAGTTAAGCCATCTCAGACGACAACTCTTGCCACACCGCTTGAGGCCTAAAATTGAAGAAACCACACACAAAATAACGAATGGGCTTAAAACAAAAGCAGCACACTTAAATGAAACAAGTGAAGGAAAGAAGAAAGAGATAAACCTGCTTTTTGTGGGAGAGTTATCCAATTGCCACCAGTGCCATGTTTCTTGAGATAGTTTTTTAGGGTTTCATCTTCTTCAGGAGACCAAGGACCCCTTTTAACGTTGGCTTTGTCACAGCATGGAGCTCTTCCCATGGCCAAGGCGAAAGGCACAGAAGTCAGAGAAGATTTGAAAGTGAAGAACACTGAATATGGAGGGTGGAGAAATAGTATATAATATAGAATAAAATGGATTGGGGTTGGGGTTGGGAAGTTGGTAGGTTTGAAAAGTTTGACTTTGTCTGACTGACACACTGATATAGCTCTTTTATTTTGTTTCCTTTTTCCTTGGTGTGATTTGTTTTGTTTTACTTGTTGCTGTTGTGTCCTAACCCCTAGCCAGTTTGCTCAGTGTTTCTAACCTATTAAGCTGCTTATCTTATGAAACAAGGCAAAGACTGAGTCAATGGGTGTAATCGAATGCAATAAAAAGTACTCATATCATCTTATTCCCTTTTTTTCTCTCTCTCCCTGCATTTTATCATACCTCATGATCCATATCATATAATTCATATCGCTCTGTAAAAATTACTATCTCCATACATACACATTTGTCTGATATGATATGATCTTGTGTTGAATGATGTAACTTGTTTGGTGCAAACAAGAACGTTGATTATTCAAATCAACACAGACCGAATCATATATATACCACTGCAATCTAACAGAGAGCAATACTACATTAAAGAAGAAGAACGTTAATTTTCTTCTTCTTGCTCAATACAATTTTATCATTATTCTATTACATTAATCAACAAAAATATTATATTAATATAATTAAAATAACTAGTTTTAAATAAAAATTTTATGAATTTTAAATTATTTAAAAATTAAAATTACAATATCACAGTCACATATTTGTCATCAAATATTTGTATCAAAAACTCCTAATTTAGTGTTGGAGATATAATTTTGGGTACCTGTGAATTCACGAAGAAATGAAGGGAAGAGAAAAAAATAATAATGAGATGATTAATGTGTTTGGAAGGATGAAAAAAAAAAGGGAAAAGTGAAATATAATTGATTTTTTCATTTAGTGGTACATAACTGTAACCACAACAAAAATAATTAAAACTGATTTTTGATTATGTAATAAATATAATTTTAATTGTGTCAATTTTATTTTATTGTTATCTTTTTTTTTCTCTTATCAATTTTCGCGTTAATGCTCTTCATCTTTTTACTTTCCTCTTTTTTTTTTTTAATTAACACTCTGATATATGGATTGTTCCATTGATATGATCAACCGTGTTAACATTTATATATAAAAAAAAAACTAAAAAAAATCTCATTTTTATTTTTATTTCTTTTTTTCATCTACCTATCTCTTTTTTCATAAATATTGTGGTATCATGGTTAAATTACTATAATCTTTTCATTTATCTTTCATCACCTCCTAATTATTAATGTTTCTAACTTATAATGAAGTTTACCTCAACATAAACTAATCCTTTCTCATTCTTAAATGATAGAAAATATTTTATTTAACAAATCTTTTAGAGCAACAAGGTCTACTAAATCATCATCTACCTACATGATATTTTACTAAGATATAATACACTTGCATTTTCATCCCTAAAAAATTTTCCATTAAAGAAAACAAACAGAAACTTTACAAGAATTCATTAACACTCGAACCAAATCATATATCAACTTTTTCATCGGACTAAGATGAATTGACCTAATCTCTATGCACTCTACCTATGACGCCAAGTTCACCACCACTTACCCTACATGTCGTTTTATTATTATACGGGGTAATTGTCTATCTATCTTCATGCAAAATCACTCACTTGTATAAATTGTTTAGGGTTTAGGCTCACTACAATTCTGCAGTAAATAATATTTTTAAAAACCCTCCGTACTACAGCCAATTTCTTTCCCTCGATCCTACACTGATATAGCAGTGTTGGATCATGAAGGGTGGTCCTAGTTCACCCAAAAGAAGCAGGGCATTGTTATGTAAAATATGGTTTCTCTGTGGTGGAAGGGTCTTAGCACATGCGATGCAGGGGTTAATTCTCCTTCAACTGTGGTTTCTCTGTGCTGTCTATTGATCTCTGACACAGGACTTTGGCAAAGACACGCAAATATGGCTGTATAGTGTTAGTGTGTAGTGTTGTTTGTGTTGTTGTGTGTACTATAACATAACACTGTACACAACTGATGAGAATCCTGACTATGCCCCCAGAGAGACCAACGTTGTTCGCAATTTGTGTCCCTGCTCTTCCACCTTATCAACACTTTCATTTCATTTTCATCTGCAACAAATCTAAAATTTGCACGCATTTCCTAAACTAATAACATCGAGGTGAAATCGACTGTCTCCAGATATATGCTATGAGTCTTGATGATAGTGTGGTGTTGACCTCATTGTTATATTTACTTATACAAATAAGATTACCGAAGATAATATAATAAGGTGAAATAGTGAATTGTTGATGTTGTTTGAGTAGTAACATCAAAAGCATTGAATAATGTATTTCCCAGCACCAAGCAGTCAACGGTTGCACAGTCTGAAGATGTGGTTTTTCATTCGGAAGGAGTGATATTCACGAATGCATCTACTGAGTCCAGGATTGTAGCCTAATGAACCTTACTTTTCATCTCTATTTAGCTCCAATAATTGACTCAAACCCCAAACCATATTCAACCATACAATTCCTCTGTTCCAAAAGTATAAAGCATTTACACATGGAGATAATTTACTACAAATCATTCATCTTCATGGACGTTTTGAAAAGCTTTTTATTTTATTTTATTTTTAAATTAATTTTAATTTCAAATTTGAGTTGGTTTGGAAATTTTGATTTTTGTGTGGCACTTTTTATTCCCTAATTGAACGTGGTTCAAGACTCCTCTAACGTTCAGAAATTTATCCATATTATTATGTTTATTTTATTTAAATGATTTATAAGAAAAAAAAGTAGAAGGAAACAAATATGGTAATATTGCTTCATTTGATATTATGCTCATCTTATCCTCAAGCGAAAATCAAAGATTACAAATTCTAAGAAAATCTGAAAAGATGATGATCCACTAGACAAACAATGTTGATTATAAATAAAAGTCAAATGAATAATTTATAGAGCATCAGAAATGTTGATAACTTGCATACAGCAAGTTCATATTCTGTGGCAGAATAATTTCCATAAAAGCCATTCACAACCTCCCTAAATGGAAAAGGAAAGCAAAAGAATGTGCTGTCGTATGTAGTAAATTACTTTACTCTTATTTTATTTGAAGAGGAAATTCACTGTAGATTCCACAATTAAAAAACGGGAAAGGATAAGGAAACGAAAAATAAACAAAGGTTATCCAAAAATGTTTAGAAATTATTTAAAGAGTGAATGAATTAAGAAAAAGTTGTGGTGATGGGAAGAAAACATAATAGAATTTACAAATGAAGTCCCAAGATTTAAGAAACTGAGTTGAGTGGGTGGGTAATTTTAGTTTATTAAACTCAGCATCACAGGTGGATTTTAAATTGAAAGAATTGGGGTAGAAAATGATGGGTTGTACAGTAAATTCCAGCGACAGATATGATATGAAGGCATCAATCCAATCCAAAACACAAGAAAGTGGTTTTTATCTGAGTGGGTCTGTGTCTTTGAGATAATGTCAAGGATATTAATATTCTCTTTCAAGTTTGTAGGGGCAATGTTTGATTAATATACACTTGCAATGTATAATATTTTATTAGTCAATTCCATCAGAATCTTATCTCCAAATTGCAACAACCCCCATGATCTTGTCTGTTGTTGTTGAAGTGGCATTAATAATTCATTTCAAACGATATCTTTTTCTTCTCTAAGCAAAAACCTGTTGCCATGGAACCAGCAGTCTTCCCTCAACCCGGGGGATGTACCAAACCAACCTTTTTCTTTCTTCCATCCTCACTCCATCCCTACACTACCTGCATATGCTTGAATGAGTTTCAGTATCTGGGTTTCACTATTTGTGTTTCACTATCAAACACTCCTGAAAACTCTTGGTAGATTCAATAAACCAGGTCAAATTAATTTGGTCCTCCACGAGTTAGGATATTTCTGTCCTTAACGTGTTCAAGGTACCAAAATTTACAAATTACAACCCCAGTAGTAGGTGAAGTCTTAACTTTTGGGAAAATATTTCCAACCGACAAGACTGAATAAGAAAAGAAAATTGACTAGTCTCTACCGTGTGTAATAATTTACCACAAAACATAGAATTCACTTTAATTATTAGTTAAGAAAATACATGTAAATTTACAGATAGATTCATAAATACTCTTTGATAAAAGTAAATAAAGGTTTTTTTTTTATTGAAGAAAAAAAATGTTAGGTCCTTAAAAGGAGTATGCAGTTCGTGTACCAAAATGGGGGACCATGGATCCTGAAATAACTTATGAGGGAAAATGTTTGCATCAGCCGTTAACGTCAATTGATGATACCAATTGAAGAAGAATGGTAGTTTGCTCCTTTCCCTTTCCTCCTTTGCCACCCTTTGCACGCAACGCCACCCATCAACACAAACTCGAAATCACAATGCATCCCTTTCAAAGTGGATCTCATGTTAGAATACAGTAATGAAGATAAACTTCAATCAACACACTCTGCCACTCTAACTACCAAATGGCCCAATGTGTAATCTAAATTCTATGACTCTTTCTATTATAGCCTCTGCCAAATCTTACACATGATCAATTTTCAACACCTAGTTGCAAAATACACAACTCACCACCTTCTCTGCTGTGATTCAGCAATAATATTTGTATACGTGCAGTTCGCATCACGTTTTGTTCGGTTGCACAAACCACTCTGTTCATCACCATTTTTGACACCTGGATTTTGCCTCGCAACTTGCCACACCCTCGTTTACACCTCCTCATCTTTATTCTATGTCCTTAATGGATTCCTTTTTGGTTTCATTGTCTTTAGATTCATGAAAAATCTATCAATAATCTTCTTTTAACTGTAATTCACGTTCAAACTACTATTAATCCAAAACCATAATGATAATAAGGAATCGTAAGTAAAGATTTAATTTTGGAGTAATAAAGGCCTGAAGTTTGAATTCTTCACAACATGAGAAATATTTCGAATTTATACATGAATGAGATGAGATTAGTGATAATAAACACGGTAGTTCAGACATGGGAATTATATAATTTCATCGTCCTGTGCTACCTATACAAAAGCTTAGGATCTTGATTCTTGCAAATCACTTCTTGATCGTCCAAGAAAATCCCCCAAAAAACGGTTCTGCTATTTCGCTTGATAACTTCTTCAGTCTTTCACCCATACCTTGAGAATAAGCTATTTACAGAAACACAAGCGGATCCTTCTTCCAAAATAATCTGGCACCAATGTTCTTCATTTTCTTCTCCCTCGCATTCTATACACGCAGAGAGAACTGTAACAAAATGAAATCAGCGACTCACAAGCTCCGAAACCCACCCAACATCGGGAACCCCGGTGCCACCAGAACCCGACCCGTCAAGAGCATTCTCTTTGCTCAACTTCTCAAACATCCTCGCTCTTATGTTTCTTCCAGACTCCACCCTCTCCATCACGGGCTCCTCCTCACAACTCTGATCCCACAGGTCAAAGCAGTTGACCCCACCGCGAACCGGGGGCTGCGTGGGGGTCGATGGCAGACTGAAGAATCCGGGTCGGATAACGGGTCCTCTGGGAGACCCGAACCCGGGAGATCCTATAACATTCCAAGAAGAAGGCAACGACTTAACCTTCCCCAGTTGCAAGTTTCTCAGCGAAGCAACCATCTCATTAACACACACAGATCCCGAACGAGTCATCGGCGACATAGGGGGAGATTCCACCGGCGGCGACACCGACCCTGGAGAAGACACGAAGGGCGCCACCGTCTTAGATGACTCCACAGCAAGTCTCAAAGGAGACCCGTCGTACGAGTCAGCACTCCGTGGACTCTGCTGTGGCAAAACCCTAAGTTGCTCCGGCGTGTGGGCAAAGAAACACACGCGGCGGCGGCAACTAGTGCCGTCCTTGCACGGCTGAGTACGGTAACGTGCGGGGTGGAGCCAGCACTCGAAAACCCCGTGAGCGTACTCGCAAGCGTCACCCTTCTTGCAAATCCCCTTACGAAAATCGGGGCACGCCGTGCCGGAGTAATGATACTTGCGGGGGTCACGACGGCGAGCCTTCTCGCCGGGGTGGGCGTACGGGCACTCCGTCCAGTCATGTGACCTGCCACGTGCGCATCTCCTAACCTTGAACTCGAACATGCGGAAATGATCGCAGGAGTAGGCGTCAACCGGGACCTCCGGTTCCCGGGACGGAGCATCAGAGTCTGACTCAGCATCAGTGGAATCGTAGTGCTGAAGTGCGCTGAGCGCTTCTTGCAGAGAGTACGGCGAGTAATCGGCATTGGCGGTGTACGGTAAAAATATGTCCGGCGTGGATTCGTGGAGGAGCGGCCACGGTGGCACATGAACGGTTGGATTTGCGCGGTGAGTCTCCCCCAACATCATGTTGTTGGTGTCTTTGGTGGATGCTTTGGTTATATCTGGATTCGATCGATGTTTACGCTTATTCCGGCATGGTTAGTGTCTCTTTATAAACTACCTCACTACATGGCTTTAACCCTGGTTGGGTTTAGCTAACCGTGGTTTGCTTTGAAATGAATGACCCCAACTCAACTCCATTGCGGTTAAAAGTTAATGCGGGGTTTGCTTCCCTCACTGGGCTGGTGTGTGAAAGACGCGCAGTTTGCTTCCTCACGTGCCACGTATATGAACAGGTGTTGATGCGGTAAAACCGTAGGCATGGGCCATTGGATTGTCACGTGCTCCTAATCACCACTTTTTATCTTCCTTCTCTTCCCAAAGCGGTGGAGTGGAGCGTATCATCATACGCTACACTAAAGACAAACCCATACACATAAATAATACTAAATCATAACATAATCTCTCTTCATTACCAAAATAATTTAATCAAAATTCATTCTTTTAAAATATTGAAATTAAAATTCTTTTTTTACTAAGTTTTTTCCTTCCCTTTCTTATGAATAGAGATTAACTAATATTGTTAGATTTATTTATGTATTATTAATAACTCTGTCACGTGACTTACATTTCACCATATTTTTCTTTCTTTCTTCCTTCCCATTCGTTATGTTTTTTTATCTTCCATCATCTTTTTCTTTTCATCTTCTTTTATTTACTAACTGATGTAATTTCTCATCAAGAGTATTGCATTAATTTTATGTGATGCGGTCAGTATTTTACTGTGAGAAATTATGAAGGTGAATAGGGTAGATAAAATTAAAAACTAATTTTCTAAGTAATAACAGGGTTGTAGGATCAATCCTTGACAAAATTGAAAATTTTCATTAATTTCACTTACATTCAATTTAATCTTTATGAAATTTTATCATCTTTTTTCTATCCGATTGCATCAAATTTCCAGTTGCACTAGTTTGATTAACTTACTACAATAACACCAACTTGTTGCATAATATATAATCAAATGCTAATTATAATATAATTTTTGTTTCCTTTTTCATGTTGATAATTACAAACATAATTAATTCCTTAAATTCTACTGTAGTCATTATCTAAACAAGCGTTTTTAATGATAGTTTTTATACAACCAAGGGATCCAGTTGAAGATTTATTAAGAAAAGTAGTATCTATTTGATTTGCACATAGTTTTGATTTATTCTTTTATCCTAGAGTGGGGAAAGAGCATGGGTGAAGAGAATAGTGGAATTGGTGAATGAAAGGTTAGAAACCGATGGCAAAGGAAATGTGGTTTAATTTATTGGCATTAAAGTCGTTGGAGTTTAATGTGGGTAGGCATGTTCTTCAATTTCTGTGGGTTGCTTCAAGACTTGGAAAGTAAAGTTTCTTCTTTTAGCTATCATCAGACTTTGAAATATTGTATTTGATAATGTTTATATAAAAAAATGATTTGTAATTTAAAAAAAAAAACAAAAAATAATTCAAACTATACGAGAAAGAAATAGTTTTATTTTATTTAAAATTTTAATTCAATTAAAAAAAAAATCGAATCACAATTAACTTTTTATAGTTAGATCAGATAAAGTATTGAATTAAAAACGAATAAAATCCAACATCCTTTTAACACCTTGCCGTGTTTTGTTTTACCGGTGGAATATATCCATACGCTGTTGTAATCATTTATGGTGATTTGAGGATTTTGGTACCCCAATTTTCAGCACATTCATCAATTACTAGTTATGAAAACTACATATAACAAATTTGAAATTATTATTAATTAAGTGTTAATGATCCAAATGTGAGAAGAAGTGGTTTTCTAAATTATACAGCCACAAAAAAGTAAGATTCTGTAATCATAACATAAGTAAATTTCTACAGAACTTTGGTAAATTTGATATTGAAAATTTCATATCTTGATGGAAGATTCAAGGGCATGATGGGCATGTGATATAAATAAAGTCCAATACTTGACTTTGATATGAACAGTGATTTTGGCCCCTTACCTTGTCGATCTTATCGTTTCAATCTACTTCACAATCCTCCATTTTCTCTTCATAATTTTCTATTATTATTATTATTATTATTATTATTATTATTATTATTATTATTATTATTTTATTTTATTGTGTCTTCGACCTACCTCTTGTAATAGCCTACACGGGTATAATAACTGAGTCATAAAAAAAAATTACGAATTTAATCACGTTTTATCTCAGACTTTTTTTAGGTTAAAAAATATATATAAATGGAATATATCTTTGTACTAATTTGTCTTGTTTGATAAATTTAAATAATGATAATTACATTATTTATTTTATTAATCCGCGCATAACCCTTAGATGAAAGTGGGGTTAAATCACTGTAACCGCTTTTAACTTTTTCTTCTTTCTCTCCTTTTCTTCACTCTGACTCTGTTCTCATTTTCATCCAGATCTTGTAACATTTGCGGTTTGTTTATGTGTGAAAACAAATAAAAAATTGTAAAATAATTAATTATTTATTCAATTCAAATTTTATTTGTTAATAGGTTATAACTTTATTAATGTGCAGGGTGCCTTAACCACACAAAGTAAACATGTAGCAAAATATTCACAACGCAGGATAATTTTTTTTATGGTTAATTTAAGATATTATGATAGTAAAAAATGTAAAGGTAAAACAGAAATAGAAAAAGTTATATAAATGTTACATATAAAATTGGTCTAAAATAAAAGAATGTGACGCCACACAGTACACCATTATCGTCCAAAATCCCATGATTTGGGCGTGCGCCACTTTATTTCCTTCTATCTATCCGTTTTGGTGTGTTGGGAATCTTTGATTAAAAATAATATATAGATTATCGTAATGCGAGAGGAGTGAGTAAAACATTTAATACGACTTATTCTATATACTAATTTATACTAGTAATTATTAACTTATTTTACGTGCATAATAATAGCATATTGTAGCGCATTTCGATGAATAAGGTGGTTTAATTCGACCTAAATGTCCCTTAAGCATATAACATAAATGGTTGTTGGAATTGTAAGATGTCGTGGTGGAGCATCAATTTTTTGTGACAAGGATGGTTCCAAGAAGGAGCAAATTTTACTTAAACGTTTAAGGGGGAACATGCTATTGTCCAATTCTAGATATTTATTTTCGAAGATAAATGAAGTTTGAAGTTTAGAACGTGGAAGTCACGTGAGGAGGATGTGGCGAGGAGGGGACAAATAGGGTGCGGGAAAAGGACAGGGAGGCCCTGGAACAAGTCCACTACCCGACAGAATACAAGGTGTCCGTACGATGAACTAAAATATGTACGGATCCATGGCTTATCCACGCGTCCTCCTTTGACCAAACACGTGTGCCCCGTCCTTTTCCCACTCCCACACCATCTCTCCATGCTCTGCCACGTGCCGTCTTCTGCTTCTCCACTCCTCTCGAGATTCGCGTGATCACTCCTTTTATTTTATTGCCTAACTCCATCCCTATCCATCTTTCTTTTCTTTTTCTTTTTCTTTTTCTAAAAAACAATAAGTTTCATTTGACCGCATTGATATTATTGTCGTGGACGTTAAATGTAATGGACATTCTCTCTCAATCACCATGCTGCACTGTTCTTAGCACAAAGACTTCTAGTAATAGTTTTCTATTTTTAATTAAGACAACCTTTAACTACATGTTTTCGGTAAACAACTTGAATAAAATGTTTTATGATAAATTAATCTCATATTATTCATTAGATTTATCGAAAAAAAAAAAATGTCGATCGAGGGTTAAGAGAAACATCATATCCACAACCAAAACGCAGAGAAGGAACTTTATGTATTATCGTGTTTCTAGCATCTTGAAATAGGGTTTCTTCTTTTGCTTTCGAAATAGACTTTTTATACCTCCTCAAGTTAACTCCATTAGGTTAGGTGTTGATGTAACCATTATGTTTTATGTCATTTTTTATTAATTTCAACTATATATTTGATAGATACTATAGCTAAACTTTTATATATGAAATCTACATTAAAAAAAAAATGAAATAAAGTGGTTGACATTTTTGCTCAAATGCTGAAATCAACATTTTTCGAAAGAATCACTGAAATTTTCCCAAACCGAATAAACTCATAAAACCACTAGGGAAACCACATTGCAAACACATACGTTTAGCATCAGGAGAAGACAGATAGAATAATAAGATGATAGCCCTGTTTCTGGTGGAATTTCGATCGATTTCGATTCTAAGGGTGTTTTGGTCCTAATTAAAATTCTATCACGTAAGCTCTTTTTACTTAGGCTAGCAATTTGATTTTCAATCGAAAACGTGTATGAGAATCGAAAACTCCAGGATATCGAAAATGCTCGTTTTTGGTGTTTTGTATTTAAAGTATCGAAAGCATTAAGACTATCGAATCGAAAGCAGAATATTAAATTGCGAGGAAATGTAAAATGCGAGAACCCCAAACTTGCATTAATTGTAAATAGCGAGAAATCGAAAACAACGCAAATATAAATGACAAGAAATCGAGATTGCAAGAAAAGTAAACGACAGGAAATTGAGATTTGCAAAATGTTAAATAACAGGAAATCTAAATGCGTAAACTCAAATTTTCATTGAATTGAAATGGACAAGGAATCGAAATACGTAAACATAAAACTCGCTGAATTTAAGTTGCATCAAAGTAAATTACCAAGGAAAATACGTAAAGCGGTAAATGTACTCAGTGAGCAAGGAAATCCAGATTGCCGTAAGCTTCATGGTGTTCGTCGTTTCTCCGGTAGACTTTTCACTACCGATCCCGTTCTCCGCCAATTTCGCCCCCTAGTTCCTTTCTCCTTTCGCTCTATTTATAGGGCATCCTTCAAGCCTTCCGAGAGCAGTTAACGCGACTGCTACCACGTTCTATGTGCGTATGACAGTTTATCTTCTATAGTTTCCCACGTTCTCACGATCTCCGACTTTTTCCCATGATTTCAGAACTACTCTCTATACGTGCATTCGACTTACTTCCCTTCACAATTTGGCCAAAGTCTCGATGTCCACATTGGCTTTCTTTACTCTCGATTCTGTATAATTCAAGAACTTCGAATTGCTTACGATTCCTTTTTAACCCTGGTCTTATATGACTTAGTTTTTATTCGACAACAGTTATTTGATTGTAATTCATTTGATTCTCGATTGTGTTTCTCGATGCTATATGCTACGTATTTCTAATTAGACATCGAATGAACTTTTGTTTATCTTATCGAGTCATATTTCTTCCCTTCGATTTCGATCGCTTTTCTCGATTTGCCACTAACAAAATGCCCCCTTGGAAGAATATAAATGATTTCTGTTTTATATTCTTTCAATATTCCCGCCTTAGTGTTTGAAAGCCCACAGGATTTAGGGTTTAGGGTTTCTGGGGTTCTAGGGTTAAAAAGGGTTTTAGGTTTCTTTTCCACTTTACGTCACCGTCTCGTCAGTCTGTTACCTTTCAGTACAAGTTACATTAATTACCTTTCCCTTCCGTCGTTTCCAACTCCCTAGACGATTTTCCCCTTAACCTCTCCCTTAGTCTTCACTCTGGTTTTTACGCGAACCATTACCTTCTGTGCAATTTTATCTTCTCCCTTGAGCTCCTGCCTTCGTCCCTGTTACCTCATCCGTTAATTCTTCCCTTTTTGTTTTCCTAAGCTTACTCCAATGGCCACTTCATCCAAGTCATCTGATTTCTCGACTCCCCCTTTTGCCTCATCTGCTACTGCCTTGCTGGAGATTAACAACCAGCGGTTTGCTCCCCTGCCTTTGATGGAGGAAGCTTCCAAAAAGATTGCTGAAACACAGGTATTAGTTCCTTATACTGTTGAGGGGGTTGGTTTTGCTTTTGGGGGCCCCATCCTTTCTGGTAGCGGAACTGTTTCTCCCCTCACCCTCTCAAACAGCCCTGCTCTTGTACATCAGCCTGAAGTTAGGATCGATTTTCTGAACCTTGTTTCTAAGGTGTATCGGACAGGCCCTCCCTCCAAAAAACCTTTGTTCACTAAATGGTTTGATAGGGTCAAGGCTAAATTCGGGGATCATTGGAAGAACGTGGGAATTTTCGATTTTTTACATTTATCTCAATGTGATTTGTCCTACTTAGACATGACTATGTTTTTGGCTGCTGTGCATTTGTGGAATAAGGAAATACATGCGTTGGAATTACCTTGCGGCCCTCTCTCACCTACTCTTTTCGATGTCGCAGCCATCACTGGGTTAAAACCTATAGGGGAGAGATACTTTCAGGGTGCATATCCCTCGGATAATTCATTGAAGTCCAAAATTGACTGGGAATCGAAGGCCTACGGGCATTTTATTGAGAAACATTTTGTTGATGACCCCTCGATAGCTGTTACTGATGAAGAACATGTAGCATTTTTGGTGTATTGGCTGTGCACCCATGTGTTTTGCCCCCGATCGATCCAAATTTCCCCCCATCTATTCAACCTTGCTTATCTCCTTCATTTAGGTCATCCTAGCCTATGTTTGGCCAAATTTTTGTTAGCGCATGTATATACTGCTTTCGACGAGGCTGTCGAAATTTTGAGTACTCCTAAGGCATCGGGGAATTTTTCTAGCCCCGTTTGGTTTATACGATTATGGTTAACTTCAATTTTTGAGAGCGTCCTTCCTCGATTTTCTACTCGTTCCCCGAGTGTAAATATAGAAGGGGCCCGATTATCCTCTCGCCATCCTCGCCATAAGTCCGACGAAACTACCTATTGTAAATACCTTCACTTTTTGTTAACTAGATTCGATTTCGATTCAACCTTGGCCCCTTTTACTGTAAATCTTGGACGAACAAGTGGCCAACTTAGGGGGCCTATTTGGTTTAAGTCAAAGTTTCCTGCTTCAACTCCTGGGTTGCAATTAGAATTGGTCGATATATGGAGTAACTACTTAACCCAGGATATATTAGTATCTGGGCTTTCACCCCAAGGATTTCAAGTTTACTACTTACTACCCTCAACTTTTTTCAAGACAATTTGGCCCGAGCCAGTCTTTACCCTTTTTCCCTTTAAATACCTTCCCCAAATCCAAATTGATCGAGTCGAACATCGCACGAGAGCTTGCCAAATTTTTGCCAAGAACCTCGATGCATCTTTATCCATATGTATTTGAATCGAATTACTTATCGATCGTGGAATTTTCTCAATGGTGGACCAATTGGTTTTCGAGTAATCGTGCCTGTTTTTGACGAGGTTCGACAGAATCGATCGCTCGTCCTTCTCTTGTGTTGCAGGACAAGTCGAAAGGGAAGAAAGGTACACACTTCCACTGTCTCCAAATATCTCGATTCGAGAATTTTTATCAAATATGTTATACTCCACTAAAACTAGAATCGACCTTTTATGATGCTGTCATTTCCTTATCCCGAAAAACAGATACCAATAGATCGAACCACAAAATAATTAATCCCTTAGGAAAACCCCCTTTTGAAATGTATTGTCCCGATCGCCTTCCCACTTTTCCTACAGCACCTTTTGGACTTGCAAAACCTTTAACTCATCCCAAATGGGTTCGAGAATTGAGAACCCTTAAAGAAACCCGTCGCCCAAAACCTAAAAACAAAGACATTTCTGTATCGAAATTGTTTTACTTTCCTTACCTTAACCTCCCTGAAGTTCTGCTGCCTCCTTGGCTAGTACATATTGATGGAGTCAAAATTTTGACTCCATCACCTTTTGGTGAGGTTTTATTGTTTTCTCTCAATTTTCAATTCTGTGTTTTGGGAACTAACTATCTTCATTCCTCGACAGTTTCAAAATCTACTAAGGTGGTCGCCTTCGAGAAGGCACAAGAGGAAGAAAAGGACGCAAGCTGGGAGTCCCCAGATGAGTCGGACCCTCCAGCCTTCACCAGAAAGCGAAAACAATCGGCCACCATCACCACTTCATCTTCGAAAAAATCAAAGGTACTTTTTTGATCTCTTTTTGTCTCATTCATTTTTCTGTTTATAACATGTTTTCTTATGGATTCTTATATCTCTTTTCGATTTCTACCCTACAGAAAAAATCGAAGAGTCCACGATCAGTCCAACCATCCACAGCAGATCCATTATCGATGGATTCTAACACCGTTCCCTCCACGGGTCAAACAACACCCGTCACTCATTCTAGTCACGTGAGTTTCCTTTTTCTCTCATTTCTATGTCTTAGATTTTGATAAGACTTGTATCATGACTCACATTTTCGATAAAATTTTTAGGATAATCCATCGGCGACCATATCGACAACTGTCGAAACTCAGCTTCAGCCTTCGACACCGATCCCTGAGGTATATTTCTTCTTTTTACTTGTGTGTCTCTTTTTATGTCTATATATTTCCTTCTCTAATCAAGCGTTTTGATTTACATAGAGCCGAGACTGTACGGACTCTTCCACCTATCTCGATGTCGCTTGCTCTTCCTCCACCTCGGTATTTTCCCTTTATGCTTTCATCATTGGATTCTTCATTTCATCCTTAATTTAACTCGACTTATCTTTTCGACTTGTTTTCTTTTTTAGTAATTATTTCCACTGGTTCAAATCCCGGACTCCCCATCTCCCACTTCCACAGAACAAATGGGTTCTCACCCATTTTCGATGCCAATGGTCGAGCTAATCTCGCCAACTTTGCCTATGCTCGACCGGCCCACTTCAAGCGGCGTGCCGGAATATCGAGCCGCTATCGAGGAAGATCCATTCGCGATCCTCGATATTCGGTATCGAGCGGCGCCACTTCTTCCAGCCTAGCCTTCTCAACCACCCGCCCCTCGACTCGAAGGAGCTTATCAGCTCAAGCAACGCTTCCGGACCTTCTTCTACTCTTCACCTCTGGAGGTCCTAGTGGAGTCTTTGAACGGAAACGACTTTTCAAGGAGATCTTGACCTCCCTCGAGTCTTTTCCGAAGGAATGCTTCCCAAGGGCTTCGATGCGGAGATTGCAGCGAGCCCACAAATTTGTTCAACCAGGCTTATGCTCGCAAGGAAGAAGAGACAATCCATAACGTCTAAAGTAGCTGAAGTCTCTGCGCTCCAGGCTGAGAAGTCTCGATTTGTTGAAGACTCGAAGTTTAGTCGAGGAGAAGTTCTGAAGTGCGTTGTCTTCGGTTGAAGTCGAAATCGAGGCGTTGAAGAAGAGATTACAACAACTGGATTCGCGAAGGAGTTCCTTACGTCGAGTTAGATAAGATTAACTCTTCTGCGAAAGAGGTGGCGTTATCCTTAGGTCAAAGCATGGAGCAAAGACATAAGTTGGCCATTGAAGAAGCATCGATTTCATCATCCTGGGCCCAATTGTTAATAGATTTTGATCAACTTAAGACTCGATACTTATCTTTGTAGAATATTATTCAATTTAATTTTTGAATGTTTATTTCTCTTATTCGAGGCTTATATATCTTTAAGTATTTTCCGTTTATCGACAACACTTTATCTTTGCTATACCAATCGATAATTGAGTAGGCATTATTCGATAACATTTTAATAACTTCGAAAGGTCCTTCCCAATTTGGTGACCATTTCCCATAATTTTTACATTTCTTGTCCATTGGTAAAATTGTTTTCCACACTAAGTCACCTTCGTTAAACTTTTTCTTTCGAACTTTTTTATTATAAACTCGAGCAATTTGATTCTTCTGCGACATCATACTATTCAACGCCTGCACTCTTACTTCATCGAGTTCGTTTAATTCATCATACATCAAACTCCAATAATCACAACTCGGGTAAATCATTCTGCCTCGTATTCGATTC